AAAAACAGTTCAATAATTATTTAGGCAAATATCATGTTATTTTCATATTTTCCTTTAACTATAGTAAATACAGGCCAGGGTATACAAAAACTACTTTTTCATTTATTGTTTCTGTTTTAGTTTTGAGACAGGGGCTCACTTTGTAGTTCTGGCTGACCTTGAACTCATTATGTAGCTCAGGCTGGTATGAAACTTATGGAAATCCTCCTGTCTCAGCCTCCTGGGTGTTGGGATTACAGGCATGCTCCACTTCACCTAGCCCTTTTCAGTTCAAACTGTTTCTAATTGCTGAACTGCGCATGGATTGTTGTAAATGTTGTTTATATTTTGGTTGATTGATTATCTAAAACAAAACATATTATCTAGACAGTACAATCACAAAAATTATTTAAGAATCACATCTAACATTTTTACAAAACAATGTACTAAGACTTATAATCCCATTAAATTCCAACTTGATTAAAAGTGTCAAAATTCACTTAACTGTTTCCTAAACTGACTGGGAAAACAGGCTCATTCAAAATTGCTTTTGAAGAATGAAGGAGAAAAATCTCAAGATGTTTGAGAGGTTCTGGCCATCAGGTTTGTTTGAGGGCTGAGACAAGTCTGAGAGTCCATCGCTCTCAGGAGCTCCAGGGCAGGCAGGATAACTCAGAAATTCAGCAGCACCCGTGTCTCAGGGTCTCGGTGACTTGTGGTCAACCGTGGCCTGAAAATATTAAGTGGAAAATTCCAGAATTAGACAAGTCATCTCAGTGGTAAAGCATGTGTCTGTCTTTCTGAGCGCTGTGTGGATGTCGGTTCCATGCTGTCCCTCTCCATTGCCCGGGCCGTATCCAGTGAGGACTGTTGCCCTCTCGAGCACCACGGGATGAGGAAGTGGCCTTGGGGCTGAGTCATGGGCGGAGGCTGGGAGAGTTTGGGGAACATGCTAGGAAAAGGCTAGATTGCATGAGCAGAGCACCAAGGAGGCGTCTGGGGAGGGCTCGAAGAGGAGGAGGGCTGTGGGGCAGCCCTGACTCCCTGACTCCCCATACACAATGCCAGCCTGGGAAACTGCAGGCCCAGGTTGACCCATCGACGATTGCACCAGCTGCTTGTGACAGGGCGAGGTCCCCTGGAGCCTTGGACACCCAGCCACAGGGCCAGCACATCCCAAGGTGGGCCAGGACACAGATTATTCTCCAGCCCGAGGCTTAATATTGTCTGTGACATTGGGTTTGGACTTCAGTGGACCTGCCACCCCTTCATTCTCGTGTGCTGTTCCCATTTGGTGGCAGTGTCTGTTCCGAGCCTGTCCCGCTGCGTATGTTGGAAGCGCACAATGTGTTGGATTTTCACAGGTCCACTTCTGTAGGGAATTCGATATCTGTAATATTTAAAATAAATATAATCACTACAATAATTATAATAAATGCTCTAGTATCCAAATCCGAGAGAGGTGAGATCTGCAGTGTGATTCATGCTGAGGCAGCTCCCCTGGAGCTGTGAACTTGGAAGATCAGACATAGTAAGAGTTTCCGACACGCAGTGGGGAAAGGGCTCAGGGGCTGCTGAAACGCAGTGAGTGCACGTGAGGACAGTGCAGCAGTCTGTTTTGCGTTGCTATAATAAATACTTGCAGCTGGGTCGCTTTATAAGGAAAAGAGGTTTATTTAACTTACGGCTCTGGAGGCACAGAGGGCATCACAGGACACGGGATGGGCATCTCCTCTGGTCTCTCTCTGTCCCTGTCTGTCTGTCTCTCTGTCTCTCTCTCTCATCTCTAGCAGTGGGTTATGGGGCTTGTCCTGATGACTTTTCTATTCTAATCCATTCTTACAGACCTTGCCTCTAAACATCTTGTTCAGATCAAGTTTCTACACAGTGGGAATCGTGTTTGAACACAGGAACCCTTGGAGGTGACACTCAAACCTTCTCTGCACCACAACACACATGAATTAGGGGCGCCCGGGGCTGCCATGCTAAGTTAGAATGTGTGAGCACCTCCCCACCGAGATTCATGTGGAAACTGAGTCCTTGAGGTAAAAGCTCTAAGAGGTGGGGCCTTAAAAAGAGGCGGTTAGGCCAGGAGGGCTCTTCCTGCGAATAAGATGAAGGCCTTTGAGAAAGAGGCATCCAGTTCAGCCCGGTTCGCCCTCCCACCACTGAGGATGCTGCACACAGACGCTGTCTTGGGACCAGACCTGCCTATGCCTTCATCCGGGACTCCCCAGCCTCCAGGACAGTGAGAAACACGTTTCTGTTATTTATTCACCCACCAGCCTCGGATGTTTTGTTACAGCAGCACAAATGGGTTAAAGCAGGCTCAACAGAGCTGCACTGTTAAAGGGAAAGAGTTCAAGCAACATCAGGTCAGCCGAGGCACCAGGGGGCCAGCAAGCTCCGTGAAGAAATGTGCCCCTGATGGCTCTACGAAACCACAGCAGATGGGGTCCTCAGGGCTGTGGCTGCCACCTGCCGTGGGATGGCCATCTTCTGACTGAAACTGGACGTGGACATGGAGTTTGGACATGGACCAAACTACACAATGTGATGGCCACACGGGCCCATCTGCCACCACACTGTGCCCATTTGCACCAGCTGCCTTGCCAGCAGCCTGACCATCAGGTCAGAAGGACAGGGGCAGCAGCTTTCTGCCCAGAGGGACACACGAGGGTCACGGTGTGAGTGGTGAGGAGCTACAGCCCTCAAGGGGAACTTAGGTCACGTGTTTGGATGCCCGCAGGACTCCACCAGGACCAAGAGCCATCCCTGCCAACCCCCAGCCATGGACATGCTCTATGGGGGATGAGGAGCTTCCATGCCCGGTGTCCACAGGCTGGTGAGGCTGTTGAAGGATGGATCAGAGACTCCCACAGCAGCAGGAGACAGACCGGGCATGGGGCAGCCTGTGAGAGGGTGGTGCCATCTGGCCAGGGCAGCAGGGGCTCAAACCCTGCACTCGGGTGCCAGGGCAACCCAGCCCTGCAGCTCCTACTGAGGAGCAGTGAGCTCGAGGGGTGGGGAGCTGGGGGAGCCGGGACCGGCTGTGCCTGTCGCCTCAGGTCGGGGACCCCACCCCTGCTCCCATCCCCTGTAGCCTGAACATCCTGGGTGAAGGTCTGTGGTTCAGGGCACCACGGTGCCCAGGCAGGGCCCCCGACACTAGCTGGAAACAAAACTTCCCCCAGTCCGTCCCTCCCTGGGGCCCCGGGGGTGAGAGATGGGACAGAGAAAGGCCAGAGTGCTCGGGTCTCGAAGGCTCCATCCTTCCTTCCCACGGTGGAGGCCGGTGTGCGCCCCTCCGGGACTGCCCGATAGGGCACCTGGGGCAGGGGCCTCCGACTGCACCTTACTCTGCCCGGCACTGACTGATGAATACAGGTCGATTCTGTCTGAAACTTACAATACAGTACTGATTTAGGAAATGGTTTCCTTTTATATTGATCCAGATTGCTAAACTCCAGGTGAGCCCACATACAAGATGTCAAAAGAAAAAAAAAATTCAGAACACTCTTTCTTTAGTTTTCATGTCTTAAATTTTTATTTAAAAAATAAAATAGCCTTTTGGTTTTGACTTTCTGACCGGGGTGGGGGGTGGGGGGGGTTCTTAAATTTTGTGGGATACGTGGCAGGGTCATCAGATCCGATTAAACCACTTGGACTCAACTAGGACTGGCTATCAGTAAGCACCGGCTTACTGTCTTGCAATAAATTGCAAAACAATGCGCAATTTTATTTTTCAAACTATGGTGAATATTGTTTATCACCCATTATTGCGATCTTTTGTTCATTAGAAACAAGTTCTCCGAGTAAAAAAAAAAAAAACATTAAAAGATCCACTGACCCTTTCACATGGAATGGTCCAGGCTGACAAAACAGTAGGAGTTTTCTTTGTCTCTTTAAAAAAAAAATTCTTTTATTGGTACATTTTAGGTATACAATTCGTTTACATTTATCATTGGGTGTTTGTACCTGTAATGATGCATCCTGGTTCTTATTTTTTCCCCATTACCTATGCGCCCTTCATCCCCTCCACCCTTCCCTATTTACATAGACTTCGTTTCCATTTTTTTTCTTTTCTCATAAGTTTTTCTTTCCCTTCTTCCCTTTCCCCATCTCCTCCCACCACCCATACACTTTGGACCTTTTCCTAGTTCAAATTATCAATTATTCGTTTTAATCATTTTCATCCTTGTTTACACTTTCAGTTTCTCACACTAGAGAAACCATTCGGTATTTACACATGTGTGTCCTATTTATTTCACTTATGAGTATGGAGTCAATGTGCATCCATTTAGCTATAAATGTCTCTGGTTTCTGGTTCTTTATGGCTGAGTAGTACTCCATTTTATAGAAAAACCACATTTTCTTTATCCAGTTTCCAGTTGATGGGCACTTGGGCTGTTTCCAATCCGTAGCTATCACAAACTGTGCTGCTATAAACATGGGTGCACATATATCGCTGTGGTATGATTCTTTTAATTCTTTGGGGAAGATACCCAGCAGGGGAATAGCTGGGTCAAATGGGTCTTTGTTTCTTTTTTCATGAAATTTGCAAGAAAGCAGAGTTGCGGGAACACAGAATTGTCTTACACCCTCAAGCACTGTTAAGTTTTGGTGACATCACCCATCTGGGCCTTTAAAGGGCTAAACAAGACCCTCATGAGAATATTTATTCCAGTACTGTTCAACACTAACCGTTCTAACTGGGTAATCTAGGGAGAAACGGCCCAGACTGTCAGCGTAGCGGGCAGGAAATGGTCTCCCCGCGCAGGGGCGCGTGGGGCGTGGCCGGCCTGGACCCGGGTCCTGTGTGTGACCCGAGGTTCGCAGGCGGAGCTCACCGCTGCCTGAGGGACAGTCGCGCCCAAGTGGTTTGGAAGCGCTTGTTTCACCGCATCCTGGGGGCCCGCTTTCTCCTGTGCGAGAAGCCCCAGACTCGCTTCCTTCCCCCTCCCAATCCTAACACACATGGCTGGGATTCAAAACGAAACCGTGCCCTGGAAGAGGCCGCGCTCCTGTCATCTCAGCCGTGCGCGCCTCAGTAAGAAGCAGCGCGTCAGGTGCGCGCCCGAAATTTGCAAAAAGACTCCAACTGCGAAGGACCGGATGCCCGAAGAGGGCGCTGTGCGGAGTCTTTGCAAACCGCTTTTCTGCCCCAGCCGGGCCGCCGGGCGGGGCGTCACGGGCTCCCTCGCCTCCATCCGCCTCCCCTCACTATAAAGGGCGCGTCCCGAGGCGCTTCCCGTCCCGAGCCCAGGCCGATCCCGCGCAGGTAACTGGGTTTGGGGGCGCCGCGGGGTGGGCTCCCGGAGCGGGACGGCCGGAGTCCTCCGCCGCCCGCCGAATGGGGGCCGAGGCCGGGGCGCTTTCCTCCCCCTCCGGCGCTGGGCGCGCAGTCCCGGAGCCGCGGCTCCCCATCGCCCTTCCGCCCGGCGCAGCGCGTCCGCGGCTGCTGTGCTCGGGGAGCCGAGGCTCTGGGCCGGAGGCGCAGGCGCAGACAGCGGCTGTGCAGGGTTCGAGGGCACCGCGCCCCGACCTCGGGAGCAGGCTGCGCCCCCACGGCTGCTGCTGCGGCCTCACCCGAGTCCCCAGAACTGCGGAGCTGTTGGACCCAGCCTTTCCCGCGCTGGTATTTACTTCATAGCGCAGCAGGTCGCCAGGACTTCCTGGTGGAGCGGTTGTTGCTATTTTCTAGTGGAATCGCTGTTTCCGGTAAACGTAGGCACTGGATCCCTTGCTAAATGAATGAGGGCCTGGGACAAAGGGAACCGAGTTTGTTTCCAAACTCAGGGGACTCGGGGCCAGGCCAAGGCCACCAGCAGGTCTGGCCCCACCTTTGTGGCCCCGGGAGAGCCTCTTGCAATCTGGGAGAAAAGAGGGGGTGAAGTGCAAGTTGCAGGGTGTGTCCCGGGTTGGCACCGATCGAGGAAGACCAGGGAAGCCCGGCGGCCGCCTGGTTGCCGGCGTGGGCGGGGCTCACCCTCGCCTCCGTTCTGGGTCGCAGCCCTCGCCATGGAGCCGCTGAGCACCGCGAACTCGGCCTTCGCCTTGGACATCTTCCTCCTCCTGTGCAAAAACGACCGCACCGGGAACGTCTTCATCTCGCCCTACAGCGTCTCCTCGGCCTTGGGCATGGTCCTCCTGGGGGCCCGGGGCGACACCGCTGCCCAGCTCTCCCAGGTCAGCAGAAGCGGCCCCTCCCGCGCTCCCGCTGTTTGTCAAAGGCGCAGTGGGCGCCTTTGCGCCCTTGCAGGGTGCTCTGGGCACCGCGCTGAGCCGTGCCGACCACTCTCCGCTCCACGAGAGGTCAGATGCTGGGAAACACCCTGAACGGTCGAGTTGCCTGCAGGCTCTTGGTTGTTGGGTCTTCCCTGAGTACCCGCTGTGTGCCAGGCACTGGTTTTTGATTAGCTGAGCGTATGTACAGCAGTGAAGCAAGCCAGCACGATCCCTGCAGCGTGCTGCTTCTGTCCCAGGGAGTCCTTCTCAGCCCTCCTGTGAGCCCCTACCTGGCCCTGAGCTGCTGTCGCTAGGTTTTGCTCTGTGCGTGGTGCAGCGTTGCCTTTGCCCATGAGGGTTAGGGAGCACGAGGAAGGCACAAGTGGGGAAGGTGGTGGCCCTGCCTTTTTGCAGGGGCAGGGATAAAGGTGACTGTGGGGTTCAGCATTGGGGGCTGGGAGCTGTGCCTCCGCCAGCAGAGCCTCAGGGCTGTGGCCCCGAGGGAGGAGGGAGTAGGAGGCCCTGCAGGTGGGAGCAGGATCGAGTCCCTAGCAGGGCGGAGTCACTCGTTCTTGCCTTCCTCAGTGGGCCCGTCCCGTCGGTGCTCGACAGTCTCTGATTCTCAGAGGAGAACATGGCTTTCTCTGGAGGGTAGGAAGCAGCAGCAACCCCGGAAGAGTTCCAACACTCCTGCCGTACATTTTGCTGCACCTGCTCCCCGGGAAGGTGCAGCCCTGGGCTCAAGTTCAAGAAGCTCCTGAGTGCCAAAGCTCTGTGCTCATTGTGCAGATATGAATGCATTCAAGGTTTTGTGATTAAAAACAAATCCACTTGTTTTTATCCAAAGATGCTGGTAGTTGCTTCTTGCAGGGTTATAGCAACTCCACTTTGAGGCTTTCCAGGGAGTTTATACTTGAGCGAACAAGCGTTTTAGGATTTTTTTCCCCCTCCTCATTTTACTTAATGCGTGTGGATCACAGCCACAGTGTAAGCATTCCGTGTCTCCGGAGATGTGGATTTTGGACACTGGGTGGTTTTGTTCTTTGTGTCTCTAGAGCAGGGAGTAGCCCAGGCCTCATAAAACCACAGAGGGCCTCTTGGCTTGCAACGGACGGGGGGGGGGGAGCTGAACTTCCGCAGAATGCTCAGCTTAGAGACGTTGTTTTAAATAGTGAGTTAGGGATGCTGGTAAGGTAACCAAAGGAAAAGGCCTCAGTCTGTAATGTCTGAGGTTCAGCATAAGGGATGATTTTATTTTTTACTGTTCATTTGTGAGAAATTTCAATAAAATTATATATGATACAGAACATAAACAGGAACACACTATTTTTCATCTTAGGGGGAAGAAAGCAGACGTATAATTGTAGTTCCACAAATGAGAGTGGTTAATATGTTCACTCACATTTTTGAAACTAATTATCACGAAAAGTGTTGTAAAATGCAGTTTCTAATGTTACAATTAATATATCTCACCAAGCCATAAATTCTGGATCCCCTAATATTTCTTCTTCGATGACAAATTCATACAGAATTGAGCTAGGGAATCAATAATTAGAAATAAAAACATAGGGGCCCGGGATTTAGCTCAGTGATTCCACCACCTGCCCTGCAAGCACAAGGACCTGAGTTCGATCCTCAGAACCAAAAAATAAAAAAATAAAAACATAGTAATTTAATTTGGTGGCAGCAAATACCAAGCAATTACTTCATGATTTCAAAGCCAATGGTTGTATAAATGTTTTCTTTATTTTAGGCTCTTCATTTTGATATGGTTAAGGATGTTCATTCAAGTTTTCAGAGCCTGAATGAAAAGTTGAATAAACATGGAGCCTCCTGTACTCTGAAACTTGCTAACAGATTATATGGACAGAAAACCTATGATTTCCTCCCGGTAAGTACTTTCCAGTTCATATTATAAAACTACTATATAGTGTGGGCTATTTTCCAGCACAGTGAAGTCTCAGAAGTCAATTTTAATATTTATTAATAGTCATAAAAACAATACAGAATGAAAGCATATGGCAGGCAGCATGCCCATTAATCAATGGGGTGGTTTTGTTTATAGTCTCTACAGTAAAAAGAGCTATGCATTATTTTGTTGTTCCTTTGACCTGCTGCGGGCTGAACCCAGGACCTTGTGCATGTTAGCCAAGTGCTCTACCACTGACTACTTCCTGGGCCCTTTTGAAAGCTTTTTATTTTGAGAGAGGGTTTCACTAAGTTGCCCAGGCTGGACCGGAACTTGCCTCTGATAGCTGGGATTACAGGCATGTGCCGCTGTGTCTGACAACCCTGGAAGTTCTAAAGGCAATGAATCCTGTGACTCATGTCCAAGTACAATCATTGTTTGCTTACTTCTGAAAATGTTAGTCCAATGTTCAAAAAGAATTGGTATACTTTATATGACGCACAAAGTGGAAAAGTTAAACTTACAGTGACTGAACTGTACCCACAAAAGCAGTCAAGAGAGTAGATTTAATGCTGTTTTGGACCATAGTTTTAAAAAAGTATAAAGGTTAGAATTTTTGTGTTACTATCGAGTGAAACCTTTTAGAACAACTTCTGTTTTTCAGGGTATTAGAAAAACACTACTGTATAAGTAGAGTTGCTTATGCCATGTTTTTTAAAATAGGAGTTCTTGGCCTCAACTAAGAAAATGTATGGTGCAGAAATGGTCAGTGTGGATTTTCAGGATGACACTGAGAACACAAGAAAGAAAATAAACAAGTGGGTCAAAGAACAGACAGAAGGTGAGAGGCTGAGCATCTGGAACCTGCACCGGTCAGCTTTTCCGGGACTGTAACACACACCAGAGACAATCACCTTCAGAGTAGAAAGCTTTGTTTTGGCTCACAGATTTAGAAATTTCCATCCACACTTGGCCTTGTTGATTTGGGCCTGTGGCAGCACAGGGCATCACAGGGGAAGAGCATGGCAGAGGAGGGAGGCCCCTTCATATCCTGGCCAGGCATGAAGGGAGGAAGAGACAGGAGTCCCAGTACCCCTTCCCAGTGACCTGATAGAATACTTCCCACATGCCTTCTCTTAGGAGCTCCACCTCTTCCCATGAGTGACATGGATGGGGGCCAATCCATGAGCCTTTGGGGGTCACTGACCCAAACCGTGACAGAAATATTAGGTGCAGGTCCTTTCCCTCTGTGCACCTCCCCACCCGTGTGCTATTTTCCCCCCTCCCCACCTCCCACCCCCTGACCCCCTGACCTGCACACGTTTACCATCAGATACTGATCCCTGTGTGAGCGCCGCCCCGCCCATGAAAAAGGACACACAGACACACCTTAACCTCCTTCCCCTGAGTTCTGCCAAAGTACATTTTAAAGTTCAAACCAACACTAAATGCAGAATAAAGGAACACAAATACCTCCCCCAAGTAGAAATGGGATACAGAATTCCACAGGCTACATGAAATCAGAATTCACCGTCTGCTGCAGTCACGTTCTCTGCCAACTTCTTGTCCAGCAAACCCCACGTGGTGGGTGGGACCACCTCACTGTCAGGGGCAGTTTACCTACCTAGTGCCTCTGGCTTCTGTCATAGTTGCCGTGTGAGCTGACCCATGAAGATGATATCTGCCCCACATTGCAGGGACTGTCCTGGGCAGTATATGTGGTTACAGGGGGAGCCTTTGGGGCAGTGGAGAGACCGTGGTACCTTTTGGTTATTTGTTAAAGTAGTTTTTGTAATCGCTTTGCGTCTACTGGGAAGATTTGAAGAAATGACTTACTCATGGGTAACCCAAACCATTTTCTTAAAGGAATTTTTTCCCTATAAAAGAATGACTGCCTTAGTTACTTTTCTCACTGCTGAGACAAAATACTCAACACTCAAAAGTTAAAGGAGGAAAGGTTTATTTAGGCTAACATCTTGCAGTGGTCCCTAATCAGCTGGCTCCAAAGCAAGGTGGCATGGCAGAGGGGACATCGCAGAAATGGTTCATGACAGCAGAAGGCAGCAAAAGCAAACGAGGAACCACAGCAGCTTCTTTCTGCCCCTTTATATTCCATCCAGGCTACCAGGATTAGGGCGGTACCAGACCAATCTGGGTTAATTTAGTAACCACACACCCTTAATCCCAGCATCACACACCAAGGTCCAACCACCTCTGAAAAAGCCCCACCCATGACTGCATGAAGCTTCGGGGGACATTTAGACACAAAGCATAACAATGACCATTCGCAAAATAATGTTCATTGCTTTTACACAATCTAGGGAAGGAGCATTCTTCTGTTTTTAGCCTTTGAACACATTTGGCTTTTCTCTTTCTTTTATGGCGTTGGGGATGGGACTCAGGGCTTCGTACATGCTAGGCAAGTGCTCTACCACTGAGCTACACTGTCAGGCTCCACAGTAGCTTGTTTTAGAGTGTGGTTGCCTTGAGGGTGGTTTATATTTGTCCTAGTCTGCCTCACAAATTCATTTATATAAAGCAGAAACATCCCAGTTAAGTTTCCTAACTTAACACAGTGTTAAAGGAAAATTAAGTTGAAAGTATACATTTGAATTGCATTTCACTGCTACTAAATTGTTTGGAATTCCAAATGGAGTTTCAGAAAAGCTCACTTTGTCTTTTCAGGGAAAATTCGAGAACTGTTGGTTCCAGGTGTGCTTGATGACACGAGTAAGCTTGTGCTAGTGAATGCCATCTATTTCAAGGGAATGTGGCTGGAGAAATTCCTGAAAAGTGACACAGTTGACATGCCATTCAGACTGAATAAGGTAAGGAGATATAACTGCCCCAAATCATTCTTCTCTTCTCCTCTGCCTCCCCTTCCTCTCCTTCCTCTTTCCTTCTTTCTTCTTCTTCTCTTTCTCCCCACTTCCACTTTTCTTTTCTTTCTTCTTCTTTCTCTTCTTCCTCCCCACCCCTTTCTTCTTGTGCTGGAAATCCAGGGCCTCCCCCGTGCTAAACATACACTGTATCACTGAGTTACACCCCAGCCTCAAAATTACTCTTTGCTCTAAAAGAATATAAAAGAATAATTTAAGTGATTTTTTAACTATTCAGAAAGACACAAAGACAGTGAAGATGATGTCTCAGAAGGCGAAATTTCCATACGCCTACATTGAGGACCTTAAGTGCCAGGTGCTGGAGCTGCTTTACCAAGGCCAGAAGGTCAGCATGATTATTCTGCTGCCAGATGACATTGAGGATGATACCACAGGTCTGGAGAAGGTACTGGCACCCCAGCTTTGTGATCTGGGCTTTCTTTTCTTTTTCCTGTCTGTTGCATGGTAGATTATAAAAATTATTATTATCATTGTCATTATTTTGTGGTGCTGCAGATCAAACCCAGGGCTGTGTGCATGCTAGGCAAGTGCTCTGTCACTGAGCTGCACCCTTAGCCCAGAGGCCCTGGATTTGTATTTTCAAGATGCCCTTTCAGTGAATAGTCATGATGAGGAATATTTGAAGATTTAAACAAAATGTAACATAGTGACAGCTCATGGAAAGTCTCTGGAATTAACTTTAAAGGAAGGCATAGCACAACAAGGATTATTTTACTGAGGACAAAGACTTAAAAACCCAAAACATACTAGCCTACAACCTCACTTATTATTATACTGTTCACTCTTACCGTAATCCATATGAATCATGAATTAAATTTCCAGTAGGTGTATGATGGAAAAGACTCATGTACCAAGTCAGTGTCCGAGATGAGCCTATTCCCTAACATGAATTTTACATGTTGTTTCCATTATGTGTAGTTTAAAGACCAGAGTATCTCGTACCAGGGTTAAACCTAGGCAAAATTGTGAAGATTATAGCTTTCCTTTAGTGATCCTCACCTGTGGTATGGTTTTTCTCTCCTCCCCAGCCAAACTTGCTATCGGGAAGGGTAATGTTAATCATCTGCATGTTAATGTATGTATTAGCATCAGTGTGTTCCTTCTTCCAGTTGTATTTTTGATTTAGTCTTTTCTCTCATCGCAAAGTGAAAGTCTCTAGTTTTATGTAAGGAAGCATCAACTCAGTAGGACAATGAAATGATGGTTCTGTTCTAGTCCAAAGTAACAATAGTTATAATGATAATACCTCATGTTCGTGTGGTGCCAAGCATTTGGTATAGATCAATTCATTTAATATTCAAGCAATGCTATAAGGCAGGTTCAGTTATTATCCCCATGTGAAATGAGGGACTAAGTCTAGTACATATCTGCCATTTACAATTTTACTTAGGAGCTAGAGTGATTAGAGTTTACCTCAGCTGCAGTGAAATTAACAATTACCAAAGTTTCACTGGATTTCAGAACTAACAGAAGCCTTTTAAATTTTCCTTCACACCACTCAACCAGTTAGGGCAGTGAAAGCTGGCATGGCCTGTCACAGTGATCCAGTGTGGTACGGGCTTAGTGAGTCCTGGATGGGTGGAGGGAGGGGTGGGTGGGTGGATGGGTGGGTGGACAAGTGGGTGGGCCAGTGGGTGGATGGATGATAGACCTATGTCCAAAGTCCCTGTACTTGATGACATGGAACATAGCTGTGTTCTATTTTACCAACCACCAGATAGGAACAAAACCCTCCAAATGGAATCCGTTTTGGCACAAAACATGAAGGAAACCTGATAGCAGTTGTCATTGTGAGTCTGTACATTTAAAGAGTGCTTTCTTACTTCACTTACGTAAAATTGATTTCACTTCTTTTTGCCTCATCCTAATTCCAGATTGAGAAACAATTGACATTGGAAAAACTGCGTGAGTGGACTGAGAATCTAAAAACCATTGAGGTCAACGTCCAGTTGCCCAGGTTCAAACTGGAAGAGAGCTACAATCTTAACGACAATCTCGCTCAACTTGGGGTGCAGGATCTCTTTAACAGTAGCAAGGCTGATCTGTCTGGTATATCAGGAGGCAGAGATCTCTCTATATCAAAAATTATTCATAAGGCCTTTGTAGAAGTGAATGAGGAGGGTACAGAGGCGACGGCTGCCACAGCAAGCATTGCTGTCTTTGCCATGCTGATGCAGGAGGTAAATTTCTCAGCCAACCACCCTTTCATCTTCATTATTAAGGACAAAACCATAGATGAATTCCTGTTCATTGGCAGACTTGCTTCCCCATAGAACAAAAAGACTCTGGAAATACAAGGTCAAGCTTGAGCTTTATTACTCAAGCTATTAATGGTGGCAGCATTCACTTGTGTAAAACCAGCCAGAAGCAAATCTTTAATTTGCTCTGTAAGTTCATCTCTATTGGCTTTTTTCCATGTATTTTCAGATAGGCACTTCTTTTTCCTTTTTCATGTTGAAATAAGAAAAACACCCCACGGGTTGCTTTTGAAATGCGTCAAGATTTTTAAAAAGAAATAAAATCAATGTGCAGATTCTTGACAGTGCAGTAATCTATGAAATTGCAGTGCTCTCCTGATAGCCATGGGGAAAACATGACATTTTCCAAAATCAAATTGCTCTCGATCTGGAATTAGAATAAGCCAAAAAGAACAGGTGAAATCAATTTGACATAAGAAAAGTAATGGAGCACCAATTATGTAAAGGCTGTATCTGAGCGACTCCCCTCACCTGCTACAACCCTGGGATGGGCAAAGATCACCAGACCTGATGCAGCTGCTGTTTTCAGAGAAGGGGGAGAAATTGCCAGAGACTCCTGCAGTAAGTCTCTGGTCTACATCTGCCCAATGTGTGATGCAGGCCTGAGAAAAAAATACACTTAGAGACAGAACTAGAAGAAAAAAGCGGGGTGCCAGGACGACTAATGCTGGTGCAACCGACAAAGGCCCTGGGCAGTCCCAGACACTGACTTTTATTGGATATCAATTGGGTTAAAGGTGAGCTATGAGTGGTTTCTATGGAAATTAATGTAAACAAGGCTCATGAAGGACAAGAGAACGCATTCTCAAATTAGGAACAGAATAGACCAAATACATGGCTGTAATTAGAACATGGCCTTCTAATCAGAACGTTTTAGTTGTGGGATCGGAATTTGGGTGCGAGTTACTCTGACCTCAGCATGGAGGCTTCCGCCAGGCTCACTTCTCAAAACAAGCCAGTTGCGGGGCTAACTCTTCACAGCCCACCTTGGGCATGATCAGTATTACAGTCCTCTGCACATTGAAATAAGTGGGCCCACAGTAGCAGTTGCTAATTAGTTTCCTTTTCTTTGTGACATGGGGGTACCATTTATTTTACAGCTAGAATTTTGGAGCCATAATAGACATCTACCCTGACATGGAAGGGAGGATTAAAAATGTGCAGTCAGAATAGAGGTAAACACTCTGATTAAGGGCCTGGGTGATGAAGGCAAGCTTCCTTTGCCCTGCAGTTTGGTTCCTTTGTCCCCAGGAAGAGTGTGCTCAGTCCCAGCCCTCGAGTGTCTCTATGCCTCAGCTAAAGAGCCACCAAGTCAGCCGGCACCGCCTCTTGCTGTCCCATATGTCTGATAGGTACTTTGAGTGAGGTCACTGAGTCAAGCAGTGGGTGTCTGATGATCCATGCTGCTGAGAGACTACAGAAAGAAAAACACAGCAAACCAGAAGTGCAGAGTGCTCACTGTGGAAGGACTGCTCACCTGTTCCATGATAAAGGCTGACTTCCCTCATTTTGGTGGGTGTGGCGATAGGGTGGGGACTTCTGTACTGGTAGAAACCTTTGTCACTTGGACTTCTTTGAATGGGGCTTACAGTTCTGTATTTTCTCACTTCCACAAGGCTGGTGAGCATCAGGAGGTAATAAAGTCTTCCTGGATTCTGCAAGCCAGAGTAGCCTCAGTCCTGTCCTTTCTCTCTGACCTCAGACAAGCCAAGACTGCACCGGGTGGACCTGACAGTTTGTGTGGTCGTGAGGGACACCACAGATTAAAACAAAATAGAGCTGGATGTACACTCCTGTAAGCTTACCACTCAAAAGGCTGAGGCAGGAGGATTACCATACATTGGAGGCCAGCCTAGGCTACATAGTGAGTTCAATGCCAGCCTGAACTGCATAGCAAGACCCTGTCTCCAAAAACAAAAACAACCCCCCAAAAAACTTTAGCTTCCATTTCTGTTCTCTCTTTTTTTCCCCCTAAAATACTTACGAGCACCTACTATATTCCAAATTCTCTTAGCTATATAAAAAAAAAAACAACAAAACAGCTGTCACAGATTCCTGTCACCCTTCTCTTGTGGCTCTTTGCTACAGCTGGAATCTGGGATGTCTCCCCAAAACCCACGTGTTAAAGCTTTGCTTCTCCCTGTGAGGTACTGGGAGGAGTGGAGCCCATCAAAGGCCGTAGTCTGGGAGAAAGTCTAGAGAGTATTGATGTGCACCCTCAAAGCAGATAGGAAAACTCCAGTCTCCCCTCTCTTTTGCTTTCCAGTCATGAGGTAAACGTTCTGTCACCTCAGAGTCGAGAGGTGCACATTCTTACTGCCATTGTCACCTGGAATGCTCCCCAAAGGCCAAAACACGTGGCCTAGAACTGTGAGCTGAAATAACCCTTTTGTCTTTATGAGTTGATGGTCTTAGGGATTTGTCAAAGTAATGAAAAGCTGACTAATGCTCGCCTCATACTAAAATCTACGTAGAGAAACTGAATCCCAAGAGCCCAGGAAACCTTGTTCGAATCCTTTCTCTTATGTGAAGGAACAGGTTTACAGTCTGTGAGTGAACTGTTGAAGGTCAAAACAGTTCTGAAGTTCCAGACCAGAAACTGAACTCCAATTCATATTTGATGTGAAGAACATCAAGTTCATATAATGGTGAGCTAGTTAATGCAGGTCCACAAATACAGGTTTAAAAAAATGAAAGAAACATCATGCTAAGGATGGGAGAGCTAATAGGATCCTGAGAAATTACTGGACCAAGGGCAATTGGAAATCTGAGAGACAAAGTAGAAATCAGGGCCACTGTGTCTCGGGGGCATTTACCAGAGCAGAAGAGGCCACTGAGAACTGGATCGTGGATTCTGAGCGTGTTCAGAGCTAGGTGGACAGTTTGGGCAGTCAAGTGTGGGGCCCCTTCACCCCTCTGCTTCTGTTTGTCACCCCGGCAGCTGTGCCCTAGGGTCAGGGGAGCCATCTCACTGCTCAGCCCTGTGCTGAGTCGGGCACAACCCCGGGGATTTCCAGTCTGGAGCTGGACTGTGTTCTTCCCAGCCTACTTGCCTCACCTTCACATAGTAGAACAAAACAGAAGTCGTCTTTGTGGGGAAGATTACTCTAAGCCTCAAATTATTACAATCTGCTTTTCAAATAGAATATCCAGCCAGTACTAGAAGATAGTGCATTGCGTGAGGAGCCATAGCAACAGAAACAAACCACCAAAAATAGATACTGAAATAGCAGCATAAAAGCTCCGAATACGGAACCAGCACAAATGATAAGGCCACTCGGTTTTCTAGGATCAAGATGATAAAAGACGAAGTAAAACATTTCAGCAGCTAATTTAATACTTAAAAGAGACACTGCCTATTGAAACACAAATGAAACGGAAGTCCAAGAGTTCAAAAACAGTAACAAATGAGCTCAGTAGATGAGATTTAATACGAACTTAAGACACAGAGAGAATTTGTAAATTTTGAGCCATTACAATAGTTTAATCTAATTTTGGTTTCCTCCAGAGAGAGAAAGATAGTAAATAAAATCCCAAAGTCAAAAGGATGAAAAATACAAAATGGAGCATAAGAGACTCCAAGGAGTTGGAAAGAAGATTCAGCTCGTTCAGAAAAGTAACAATTGTAAATTTGCATGCAGGCAATAACATGCCTCAAAGTGAAACAACAAAAACAGAAAGAAAGGAGAAATTGGTCTGCAATCTGAGAACAAGAGTAGGATGCATGTTGTCACTACCTACTTATGATTTAATAACGATTCTAGCTGTATAGTAACTCCAGAAAAATAGGTAAAATACAGAATTATTTGAAAGGAAGAACAAACCTTGAAATATTTTAGATTAAGTTTCATGGAAAAATCTAAATAATTAGAATTTAAAGAAGTAAGGAGCTGGTTACAAGTTCAATTTATAAAGCTTATTTGTGTTTCTATGTAACATCAACAGTTAAAAATTTTTAAATACCATTTATAATACAATCAAAAGGTATTCTAGTGCCTGGGAATAAATCCGATGGGAGATGTTTAGGACCCCATCTAGAAAACTAAACTCCAGTGAGAAGAGCTAAAGAAGATCTCAGTAAATGGAGAGCTATGCCAGGGTCATGAGTCCATATGTTAAATATGTCAATTGATCTATAAAATTAATACAATCCCAACCAAAAGCATAACAGTTTTATTTTTGTACTTTATTTTGTCTACCTTTCAGTGAAATATGGCCAGTGGGTCTACTAGTTATAAAACTTTATAAAAGCCCAAGACTATCTAAGACAACTTGGAAGAATCAGATAAAAGAAGGGAATTGAACTGAGACTTACCTGAAGCTGCAGAGATAAGAGCAGCGTTGGTACAGGGATGGGCAGAAATGAAGTAGAGCCCGGAGCCTAGAAGTCGGCCCTTGTGATAAAAAGTCACCCCCACTTTCTGACGAGTAGGACCACCCCCTTTGCCTAAAACAGACTATTTATGCCTTTTATCTAAAGAAATTAGAGTTGGCCCTCTGAATTGGGTGCCACATCTGCCTATTCAACCATTCATGGATGAAAATACTTTTAAAAAATTTACATCTCTATTGACTTTTATTTCTTGTCATTAGTCCCTAAACAATAGGACAATTATTTCCAATTCCATTTTAGCAGGTATGATAAGTCATCTGCAGATGACTGCAGGCACACGGGAAGATTTCTATAGGTTCTATGGAAATACTCTGCCACCTTAGGTAACGGACTTGGAGTTTGGTGTCCCTGAGCGATGGGAGGATGGGATCAATGGGATCAATGGGAACCAATCCCTGCAGCTACCCATAGGACGACTGTACCTGTAATGCTCTCTTTTTCTCTCAGTTTCATTGATTTGGTTAACAAATTATATGGTAATCATTATTTATGATAAATGCAGCATTCCAGAGTTGAGTGTGGAAGGAGGAAATTTTCTGATAATTGTTCTGGGATATTTGGAAACCCATGTGGGAAAAAAAAGAGTTGATTTTTGTTTTACAAACTATACAAAAATTAATACCAGATGGACTTGCAAAGCGAGTCTGAAGCAAAACAATAAAGCTTTTACAAAACAATAAAAGAGCTATATATATGTTCATAATATATATTATGGACCCTTCCTAAGAGGACCCACTACTCAGCATGGACACACACACAGGTAACACACATATCTTTTGTTATATTTAGTCATATATACTTGGAGATTTTTTTGATGCTAATTTGGGCCAAATGAAAATGAAGAACTTCAGGCCTGCACAATACACATTAGGAATGGAATGGCAACTCTGTGATAGTTGCGGGGTGAGGCCTGAGTAGGGGCTGAAAGAATGTTCACTGAGGCAGGAGCCTATGTCCAGAGATTTCTCACTACCTTTTTATCTGCAGAGCTACACCTGAAAAGCATGTGGGCAGCTAGGAAGCTTTGTGAAGTCACAGGTTTGCAGATCTGCCTTCTCAATACCTTCAGAATTTTTGTATACTAGAAACAATACCTTAAACACCCCCATAAAGCAATAGCCAATTCTGAGAAGGAGAGAGAAGAGAAATTGGGTTGGATATTATAGAATGAATGTATGTTAATTTTAAAGGGTGTTTTTAATATCATCAAAATTAAGACATGTTTAATACAATTTCGGGATTGGTCTGTTTCTTTAACCAGGCTAGCATCCTGCCCTTGCCACTTTAAATTCTTCTTTAAAGAAGCACAGGGCGGAATGGGGACCTGCATCTCCAAATACTATGGTGCAGATATCAGCCTGATTCATCACAAGCAGAAGCCCTAAATTTCACCACAGAGTCTTGTCCTGAAGGAGAAGCACATTCTAAGCTAATCCAAAGGTGCATGGACTTCAATATTAATGTGGTCCTTTCACTTTCTGCTGTGCATCTCAATTAAAATGAAATTTTGATACCTCTGCAGTCTCCAATAAACTTGCCCTCGTCGAGGCAAACCTGAACTTGGTTGCAAACGAGAGGTAACAGGCATCTCAGCAGAGTCTGCTGAGTCATCATTTTCCCACAGCATCAGTTCAGCAGCCCATCCCTCTCCAATGTCAAGGTCAAGAGTCAATATCACTACAAAGCATTGTACATCAGGGGCTAGGATTGCAGCCTAGGGGTAGAGCATGCACTCAGCCTGCAAAGGCCCTGGGTTCAATCCCCAGCACTGCAATCAACCAGTCATAAAATAAAATAAAAGCAATTCGGGGATGAAGGAAGGAGCTGTTATGCTTGAACCTTGGAAAGCTAAATGGGTCATAAATGTGTAATGATTAGAAAGTATAAAAGCATTTCTACAAATGAACTCTCAGGGCTCTAATTACACATATTTCAAATGATAGAATTGGGATGGCAGGGAGATTTTCTGGTCTGAAAACCAGTCATATAGTGACGGCATCCATCCGTGTGGATGGATAGAACCACCCCCAAATGACTCTGCTCAGTGGTACCTCAGAGTGTAAGTCTAACATGTTCAGGGAACAAAGGTGATATTTTAGGGTGCAGGAGAAACCATTTAAAAAGCTATGCATTGCAAGAGCGAGCAGATGTTGCTAAAAGAGGTTTTCAAAGGCGTCTTGCAACAGTACTTCCTGTACTTTGTACAGAGTGTTCCAACAAATACTGTTGAGATTTCAATTCAGCAGATAAGTTCCCTTGCATATTAAAAATG